GTCCGAGAATAACTCCTGTTATTTAACTGGTACATTGACAGTTTCAGTATTGGAAATATGTCAAAATGACAAGTTCAATCTGAGATAAATATTATAGATATATTTGGTCGAATCTACCCTTAACCCTACGGTGGTCGCGCTCTAAAATATTACGTTAATGGTCGCGCGGATTACATGCGTAAGCCATTTTATGGAGTAAAAAAGAAGACATCTCTTTATAAAAACATGTTTCTTTATTTTTTATATTTATTGTTATGTATTAGTTAATGAAATAATCAAACAAACAAACAAGCAGTTCTTCTCAGTTTTTATAAATTAACCAAAACATAAAAATCATCATTTTTCGTCAAGAAAACGTCAACTTTGGCAGTTTAAAAATTTTTCAGTACTAATTGCACTTATTTATTAATTATATTTTGAACAGGAGATACAGGCCATAATGGAATGATAAGGACAAATAAATTTGCTGCACGAATTACAAGTATTTCCAGTACTTTGATTTAGCTTTCTTCCGCAGTCAAAGTAGCGACCTAAAAATCTCCGCTGTGATGGTTCTGAGTTAGATGGCTAATCACTGGTCTGAGAAACTTGTTCTCTTGTGGAAGAATGTGCACTTCTTCATCAGAAACCGAAGAGTCGCCAGAAGATACGCTTTCATTGTCAATTACTTCTAGCCATTCTGCAATTTGTGCTTTTTGTCTATTGTTCATGATTTTATTGTAAACACAAATGTAAATACATACCTATGCCGTAATTATTTATTATAAAGCATTAATTTACACAAATAATGCAAAAACAAACACATTAAGTAAAAAAGGTAACTTAAAAAATACTTACGTAATTGGTCGCGCGGATTACACGGGTAGGCCATCGGCATTTACGGGGCTCCTGCGACACATCCACAAGCGACCTGGCGCTCACACGTCATTAAGTGTGATCTTCGACTATGCAACTTAAAGTACACGAAGTATCAAAACGATCGCGTTGATCGATTTCAAAATATTCGACAATTTGCACGAGTGGATTACGGGTGTAATCCGCGCGACCACTGTAGGGTGGGTTTAAATATTAAAATCATTCAGAAGTTGCAATCTTCTTAAGATTGAGTCAAGTTAACCTTAGTCCCCACTTCAGAAAGACGAACCTCTAATTTACCATAGACTAGAGGTAATCCTATTCGCTAATTCGCTATCTAGACTTTGGAGATCGTAGGTAGCTATCGGAAGGTTAGATGGTGCCGCGTACCCAAGCTTAGGGGCTTTTAGACCCTAACCAGTAAATATTAAAAATTCTCCGTCCCTTCAGAATGGAAATAAAATTGTAAACATTTTTACTAAAACTGTTAGAATAGCAGTTCCTCTGTGGTTGAGGATTCCGGTTGAAGCTCGTTTCCAACTTCGGCCTGATCGTCACTTACCATCAGGTGAGAAAAAGGCCAAGAGGTTCCTCGTTGTGGATAAAAAAAATAATTAAATGAAGCGGATATGATATTTACCCTTCTTATTCTTTAGCTTCTTATCCTTCTTGCTGGAGTGTTCCGGAGTGGATGTTCGGGACTTGGGTTCGACGCCCCCGCTCACCACTTGCATTTGACTTCTGTTGATTTTTCAATTAATGCGCAGTTACTATGGATGGGCCTCATAAGAAGGCTCAAGGTCACCCAAAGGGCGATGGAGCGGGCTATGCTCGGAGTTTCCCTGCGTGATCGAATCAGAAATGAGATCCGCAGGAGAACCAAAGCGACTGACATAGCTCGCAGAATCGCTAAAATCAAGTGGCAGTGGGCGGGGCACATAACTCGTAGAGCTGATGGCCGCTGGGGCAGAAAAGCTCTGGAGTGGCGACTACCGACTACGAGCCGGAAGACGTAGTGTGGACAGGCCTCCCACTAGATGAACCGACGATCTGGTGAAGGTCGCGGGAAGGCCTCCCCCAAGGATTTCCAAAAGGACCGGTCCTGCGCCGCCCACATCCAGGCACCTCCCGCGACCTTTACCAGATCGTCGGTCCACCTAGTGGGAGACCTGCCCAGTGCCCACACTACGTCTTCCTCGTGGTGGCCACTCGATCATTCATCAGCCGGACTAAGCAATGCTAATACTGCAACTGCTAGTTACTTTTGAGTTGCATCTAAGTTTCTGCACTTTCTGCCATAGCGTCCGTTGAGAGACCAGTGACGCGACCAGTTTGAAACTTTGAGTTTCAGTTTTATTCATTAGAATCATCACAAAGTTGCAGTTTCGTTGCAGTTGCGTTTCACCGTCTGTTCTGGTCTGAGCCTAAGTGGTTTAGGCCTGAAAATCATCAGTCTTACTTGTTAGTCTTTCTCGGAGGCGGGAATAGGCCATACTTCAGGTGGGGAGCCGTGGGGTCCGGCCCCCGGCTCATTTTCTGTTTCACCGGCTGCCAGGGACCCCCAGAGAATAAGTCCGAGTTTTGCTTCAAGCTGGAAGAGGAAAGGGAAACGAAATCTCACTTTACTTTTAGTCTACACACTGGGCGACAGTCGCAGTGACTAAAGTCCGGTCTCTGCTGTCGCGCTCGCACACTCACTGCGGTCGGCCGTCGCACAGCCGCGACAGCAATATAATTACGCGCGAGCGATAAGGATGGGTAGCTTGGGGTCATTGGACAAAATTCTACGTGCTCACGGACCAGACTATAGACTAGGCGACTCCGCGACTGTCGCGACTTGACTGACTGACGTAGTGATCTATCAACGCACAGCCCAAACCACTGGACGGATCCGGCTGAAATTTGGTATGCAGGTAGGTAGATGTTATGACGTAGCGTCCGCTAAGAAAGAATTTTTACGAAACTCCACCCCTAAGTGGGTAAAACGGGATCCACGCGTACGAAGTCGCGGGCGGCCACTAGTACATTATGAAATTGACAAGCAATCATTCAGAGCATCGCGTGCGCGTGGACGCACAGGGAGACACACGAACCAATCACAGAGCTCTATTCAACGCTGTGCGTTCGATTTGCCGCTTCACTTAGCAAACATCGTTTGTGAATACGTGAAATAGACTCACCCAGCACCACGAGGAGATGGCGTCTTCTTCTTCACTCTTTTGGGCACATTTCGGTCGTTTGCCCATGAGTGGGAATGTGGTGGTGCGTGGCCGATTTGACTAGAATCAATAACATAAAAAATAACCTAACTGCAACTTTTTTTTATTCGACGAGTCAAAGGATTTCTGAATTCTGATCTTACTCAACAATAAACTACACTAAAGCCCGGTCTCTGAGCACGTAGAATTTTGTCCAATGACCCCTTGCATTGCAGTGAGTGTGCGAGCGCGATTGCAACATAATTACGGGCGAGCGATAAGGATGGGTAGCTTGGGGTCATTGGACAAAATTCTACGTGCTCACGGACCAGGCTTTAGTAGCTTATCTAGCAGATAACTGTAATGGCAGAATAAAAGTATTTACGTACGTCATATTTTGTACTCTGGGTTTCTTCTTCTTCACGCCTTTGCTTTGATTCTCGGCCCAGGATTGCGAGTACGGAGCTGGGTACTTCATTTGGCTACAAATTATAAATTTATTTCAGGGTACACTGGTTAATTTAAAGCAATTAAACTATGAAAGTATACTCACATAGTCCTAGGTTTTTTCTGTCTATCTTCGTCCATTGTAACACTAATAATTTTTGGGTTTTTATCAATTTTTATCTAATGTTTTTGGATCATTTTTGAAAATGTCAACTTTTTTTACTTTTGAATTTGGCCGGGTCAACACTTTCCTTTTTAAGCATAGCACATGGGCGTATGGTTTACAAAAAAAATATTTGAAAGAAAAATTAGAAAATTCCGTAGCTCATTAAAATACCGTAGTAATATTAATATCGTACAAAATATTGTACGAATTCAATGTTGTCATTACTAATTGTATTTTGTGGAACGGAACGACTTGGTAGATTCAAGGTAGCCAGACACAAAGAAGATTCTCCCCAAATGAAAGGTAAATTGCTTAGAAGATGCTTTTCTCCATTAATAATATTTTTTAGTACTGAGTTGAGTTTATAAGGTAAATTGCTTATAATTAAGAAGCTTTTCTTCATTATTAATCACTTTTAGTATCGAGTTAATTTAGTATTTTTGTACAGACGACATCTACATCATCATCATTATCATCAACATAAATAAAATAAAATAATTTACATCAATAACTAATATCAATAAGATATTTACCCAAATAAATTTTTTAACGATTCCTACTTATGTATTTTTTTTAGTATTCTAAATCAAGATTTTTTTCGAAAATTAAAGAAATTACATGATTTTTACAAATAGTTCGATTAATCAGCAGGAGAGGGAGATTAGATGACTGATTAAAAATCGGGTAATTTAATTCCCTACCCTGTTATCATTACAGCTGTCAAAAATGATGTGCAGGTGACGTATGGAATGGATGGATGGTGATTTTTAGGGTTCCGTAGCCAAAATGGCAAAAACGGAACCCTTATAGTTTCGTCATGTCCGTCTGTCCGTCTGTCCGTCTGTCCGTCTGTCACAGCCGATTTACTCGGAAACTATAAGTACTACAGTGATGAAATTTGATGGGAATATGTGTTGTATGAACCGCTACAAAATTATGACACTAAATAGTAAAAAAAAGAATTGGGGGTGGGGCCCCCCATACATGTAACTGAGGGATGAAAATTTTTTTTCGATGTACATACCCGTGTGGGGTATCAATGGAAAGGTCTTTTAAAATGATATAAAGTTTTCTAAAAAACATTTTTCTTAAAGTGAACGGTTTTTGAGATATCAGCTCTCAAAGTCGTAAAAAGTATGTCCCCCCCCCTCTATTTTTATAACTACGGGGTATAAAATTCTAAAAAAAATAGAGGTGATGCATGCTAATTAACTCTTTCAACGATTTTTGGTTTGATCAAAGTATCTCTTATAGTTTTTGAGATAGGTTGATTTAACTGTTGCTGCTACGGAACCCTTTGTGCGCGAGCCCGACTCGCACTTGGCCGGTTTTTTATTTATTGCGTGCTGCCATTCGTCATCGCCGGCCTGTGGATACTTTTCAAGCTGATAAAAACACCTTGACGCGTAATTGCGAAGTGATCTTGTGCAATTATAATGTAAATCTTATAACGTGCAAGCTAGACAATATCTAATTTGCGGCGAAGTAAGTACGTAAGGTCATTGTTTGTTGATACAGCTAAAATTAAGTTGTGTTGGTGTATGTGAGACGTCTGTGTCGGACGTCGGTGTGCCTTTGTGTGGGTACGAAATTCTCAGAATTTGCTGGTGGAGCGCGGACGGGAACGCGCGCTCGATACAGGTAAAACCAAAACCACGGGCTTTCAGCGCGAGCCTCGGAACAATAAAATATCTCCGCAAATCGTGAACGAATTAGTTAAATTCAGTGAGACGGCGACGAAAATCTAACAGTGAGTTGTAACTTTTTGCTTACAAACTCCTTGAGTGTTTTGTTTTCATTATTATTCTGTTTCTCTCTGAATTAATTGTGTGTGGAATGGCGTACGTATAGTTCAACATTTATTTCCTCATCATGTTCCTGTAGTTGGTAAATGTTTTGTTTATTTGTTAATGAGTCACACAATAATCATTATTTATCTATTATTATGTTTTAATTCATCAATTTAACACTAAAACTGTCAGGTACTTTTTGTACTTCCTATCTGTGTGTTAACCCATCAGTTATCATTGGAGGTCATTTGTGAAAGATAAAAAATGTAGGTACAATATTAAAAATGAATTATTGATTGAATATATACAGTGTCTATTTAATATCCAATGATTGCATTGAAAATTGTATTTATTTATTTATTTTTTAACAAAAAAAGTTATTTAATAATGTTTTTGTTTTAAGTATTACAGTTACTTTGATGCTGGGATGTTATGGATATCCGTAACCGTAACCGAAACTTTTGGATATCTGAAATAAGAAAATATCTGAAACCGTAACCGATTCAAAAGTTTCGGATGTAGGCAGTTTAAATTGTTTTTTGTATAGCATTATAAATGTAAAAGCATAACAGCCTGATTTACCTTTATAATGTCATCTAGTATCCATTTTTATTTTTTTATTACTTTTTTTATTCGATGTAAAGTGTGCGGCCATGGATGAACTGAGTTAGACATTATTGCAATTTGCATTCTAAAGCACAGATATCCGTAACCATAAGCGAAACTTTCGGATATCCGAAATAAAAAATAACCGTAACCGGTATAATATTATTCCTTTAGCCGTAACCGTATCCATAACCGAAACTACATATCCATAACGTCCCTGTCCACTGGACTATTATGGTGAACACACCCCTAATTACAACTTAAGAATACCTAATTAGCTCCTCAATAAATACATACAAATAATATATTATGTATTAAATATTTAGGATTAAAAACTTTCAAGCATTTTGTACACATTTAATTTGTAAATTATGATGCGTTTTTTATAGTGATGCAACGAATACTACTTTTACGAATACGAATATTAAATCTACTATTCGGCGAATACGAATATCTCTACATAGTCTTGAAATACTCATTTTAACTCTTTTTATTATGATTAATGTTTTAGTAATTAAAATTTACAACTGGCATTTTTTTTGTTATTGTATCACTTTACTTTGTAACTAATCACAAAAGAAAAAAAGTTCTTGTGCAATCGACCTGCTATTGACTGTCAAATTCCGGAAGAGAACTTGCTTACTACTTTGTTACATACTGACCGGAGTTTTCTCGTCGTGTCGTTGTGGCTATAGTGTTCGGAGACACTTACGTGTGGGACAATATTAAAAAAAATAGATATTCGTAATTATTATTTCACCGAATACGAATGTTCGGTAAATGTCTACTATTCGGCGAATACGAATATTCGTATTCGTTGCATCACTAGTTTTTTAGTAATACAATATTTTTCTAACATTCTCAATTTATTTTTTTCCTCTTGTTACAGATAAACAATTTAACTGAATAGTACATTATTGACAGCACAAATATTATTTTGGTGAGTAATTTTTTTTTTATGTTGCCTGAATGAGGGTTTTCGCGATTGAAAAATCCGCCAGATGGCAATACGTAGACGCGAGGTCCAAATGCTGCATGATTTGTTATTTTTGACATGACATTGACAGATTTATGTCAAAATCCACTAATCACGTCCAGTGCTTCCGTGCTACCTTTACGATGTCGTCGGTCCACCTTGTAGGTGAACGTCCCACGCTGCGTTTTCCGGTACGCGGCCTCCATTCCAGAACCTTGCTGCCCCATCGGCCGTCAGTTCTGCGTACTATGTGCCCTGCCCATTGCCACTTCAGCTTGTTAATCCGTCGGGCTATGTCAGTGACTTAGTAGATGCTTCTGTAGTGGAGACTAAATGACATGGTGATGATGATGATGATGTATCCTTGTCCGCAGACCCAAGATGTCGCTCTGGGCTAGAGCGCAACAGCTGCCACCAGAGAGCTTGCAGAAGGTAAGCATTGGCGTATCTAGGGTAATTTTTCATGGTACTATGAATGAACTTTCACCACAGAATA